GTTCACATTTTACCCAGCAGCAAGTCCCACTTGTGTTCGCTGTAACCCCAGTGGGAACAGAGGCAGAGCGCTGCTAATCCCACGTGCCATTTGCACGCAGCGCTTGTAAAGCATCCTGGGATCACTTGGGATGGAAAAGGCAGTGCATGTGAGATGCTTTCCACTGGCATCCCAAATCTGCTGCCCTATCACTGAAGGGAGGTGATGACTTTGTCAATCAGGAATTTTTTTAAATTTTTTTTAATTTTTTTTTTTTTTTTTTTAGCGAGGCAGCTGATTGAGAAGGATAATAAAGATGCATTTGATTTTCTTTCTGTGAGCTCTAGTGTACCCTTCATGGAGATTAACAATTTCCCGGTGCTGTTTCCAGCTCCACAGAGCAAGCAAAAGCTGATCTGGCCATACCCACAGCCCTGCCACCCTCTGACAGGATCACCATACAGCTGTGACTTAGCAGGCACCGGGACAGCATAATCCTGTTTATTCGCCCATCCGAAGCACCGATGAGCTGAGATAATCGGGGCTGGAGCAGGGGAGGAGCAGGGATGGGTTTGCTGTGCCCTGCGGTTGGTCGGGCAGGCACAGAGTGCCAGGGAAGGGCTCAGTCCTGTCACAGAGCAGGGAGGGACCAAAAACATCCCCCAGTGCAGAGCCAGCCTGTGAAACAACAGCCTTGGCAGGGTCTGATCCAGATGTCGTGCTCGACAATTCTAAATTGTTCCTTTTGTGGCCGATTTAATCTAGAAATCCTCAGAGTCTGAGTGGCCACTGAGGCACTCTGTGCACCGTGCTTTGGCTGCCAGGTGGCAGAGACTGTGTGTGCGTGCCTCATCTCCCCGTGCTCATTCACATTTGGAGCCCTACACCTACCTTGTGCTTGGATCTAAATTTGCTAAAATTACAGCTATTATTGCAGTTTTGCTGGGCATGAGGCACAGCTTTTCATAGGATGCTGAACATTTGTAAGCAGCCCCTGGTCTGTGGGGATGTAGGAGCACATTCTGCAGAGCCCCTCCCAAGAAATATAAATATACTCTGGGAGGATTTCCCCGGTGACCTAGACCCCTGAAACTGGGCTGTAGAAAATCTCTGGAGACAGCACAGTAGTGAGCATTCAAATGACTTTATTTTCTTGTTCTTGTGATCATTAAAGCTCTCACACTTCATATTCTATCCCAGTAATTCATTGGCTGGGTTTCAGTGACAGGCCCCATCTTCACTTGGATTTTATCTCAGTGTTTAGCAGTCAATACTTTCCTGTTCCAGTGTTTGTAACCTCAACTTTTACAGCTGGCATGAGCCATGGATTAACTTCAAGCAGGGATGCTGATTTTGAAGCCTCATTTCATGTTCTCTGAGCTGTCCTAGTGCAGATGACAGGTTTATAGTTTGGGAAGCCAGTAGCAATGGCTGAGCTCTTTATAACTACAGCACTTGTTAGGTGCAGCTCCTCACCATGGTGACACTGCAAATATTGAACACAAAGTGATTCATGTGACCCAATATAATGCTCACTTTGAATTAATATTTTACAATATAACTGGCTTTATTTAACTTTTCAAACGTGAGTGGGTTGGGAAGGACAGAGTGCTGCTATGTATAATTTATGGGCGCTCATATTTGCGTGCTTGTTTTAAAAATTAAATTTAAAATGTATTGTTTGTTTTCTCCTCTCCCTGCTGGCGGATGTTCAGGCCCTTGCAGGGCTCCAGGGGATTTTCTGAGTGTGAGTGTTGAATGATGGGCTCTGAAATGTGATGTTCTTGCTCTCCTCCCTTTGTATTCCATGCAGTCAGTGTGGCAGGGCTGTGTCCTTGCTGGAAGTGCTTTGGGATACCCTGAGCAGAGAGCCCATGGTGCACCCTGGCCGTCAGACCCCTCAGACCTGAGGTTCAGCCTTATTTCCCTGCAGAAATGAAGTTTGGGGTAAGTAACTCCAGATTCCTCGCTAGAGCTGGCAGGAAGTAAAGGAGCGTGGCAGTTGCAGAGCTTTGGGGCAATGCAGGAAATGAGTAATTAGGAAATTAGCCCCAGGGCTGTGCTTCTGAAGTGGAATGCTGTAATATGAGCATATTCCAGGTTTTCATGCATTTTGACTGGAATTTATTGCACCTAAAAACCAATCTAAGAGAGAGGATGCAGCAACCCATCTACTTAAGAGGTGGCCACAGCATCCTCAGAAATGAAGATGTACAGGGTCCTTCCCTCTGGGTGTGTCCTAATAATCTGAGAAATCAGATTATTGTGAGACAACCCTCTGAAAAAAAACTTTCTCATTTCTTAGGTTTTTCTATAAATTTCCCTCTTACAACTAAGAGTTCCTCTTGTCATTTTTACAACCATAACTGTAAACAAGCAAACATTATAAAATGTGTTAAATTCACCAGCATTCTTCTGCAAGCAGGGAAAAGAATGCCCATCATTAACTCCTGTTTGCCACAAAGAAGTGCCCATTAGTGTGTGTCCAACCCCTTTATGTAGAACTGAGAGCAATGAAGTCACTGACAGAGCTTTTATTTGTCTCTGTTGAGTCCTGCAGAGATGGCAGAGGAAAAAAAAATCCTGCATTAATAAAAGAATAAATTCCTCTTCACGTTAACATAAAATGCTTCTGCAGTGATGAAAAGATTTGGGCTTGCTCCAGTGTGGTTTTCCCCGTGTGGTTGGGTTTTGCATTTCTTTCAACTTGCTCTTTGGAATCCATTTCCAGTCGGGCTTTTTCCCCCCTTTCCAACCTGACATATAACATGATCTTACAAATTCTGACCTGTGACAGCTTGAGGAATATTCATGTGTTTGGACAAAATATCTTCCCTTCCAAGTCAATTTTAAATGCCATGGAAACGTTTTGCTCCCAAGGTTTTGTTTGTCATTGTTGGTTATTAAAATCCTCTGCCCAAGATCAGCAGTGACACAACAATCCTTTGCAGGAGGCATTTTCAGGGATTTTGCATGGATAGCTTCAGGAAGTCAGGAGGGGGTGATGGAGAAGAGAGGAACATTGAAATAGGAATTTTTTTCTATACTATTTCAAAGGTTTCTTTTTCTTTGCAACCAGAAATACCCATGAGCTGGATCTGGAGCTGCTCACAAGCCTGGCCCAGCCTGATGTCAGGGCACAACCTCTGTGAGTTTGTTTTCCTTCCCTGTCCTCACAGCTGGGAATATGCCATGATTTAAAACCAGTGTGCCATTAATGCCCCGTTACACACAGCAGAAAGCTGGGGGACTGACCTCATCTGCCAGAACAAGTGTTTTAGTGCTGCCCCAAGTTCAAACCAATCAAAAGGTCAAACTTGTTTGAGGCAGGGAGTGATAAGAGGGGCGATGGAAGCTCGTTCCCACTTGTTGGAATTAAGCCAGGCTGGCTTCAGGAAAATCTCCAGCTGGGATGGACCCTGGAGAACAGTGACAGATGGGAAATCAGGGCTGAGCCTCCCTTGCTGGAGACAGAGAATTCCCACTAAATGCAAGAGAAGAAAAGCAGATCCTGGAGAATGGGACTTTGGGTCATTCTCCTGGTGAAGCCTGCTCAGACACAGCTCCCAGTGCCTTGGTGTGGGTGGAGGTTTTGGTCAGCTGATGGAATGGACTGGGAGGGGGAAAGGGGATTTTCAGCCTGGAAGGTTTGTCCCTGTGAAGGAGGAAAGACTGAGGTTATTTTGTAGTGCAGAGAGCTCAGAGCAGCTCTCTGGCCCTGGGGGCATCTTTGGGCAGGTGGGATGTGCAAAACCTCTGGTCACGTTTGAGGGAAGCGACGTCTTCAGTTTATCCCCTTTGGGGAGGAAGATGGAGCTCACACCTGCTCAGCTGAGACTGGAACAGAACTTTTTCCCTTTCCAAAGGCAGAGTTTTTCCCTCTCAGTGTTTTTTTCAGTGCAGGGGAGAACATGGAAAACTTCTCAGTGGAAAACCCTGCTCTGGTTCTGTGGGGGGCTGCTCAGCACCCTCATCTGCTGTTTGGAAGACTCTTTGCACTCTTTGTAATGGCTGCTTTTTCAAGGGTCTAATGGCTTTATTTAAAGCCAACAAAACACAAAAGAGAGAGAAGAGAGAGTGAGGAACTTTTTAGAGTCTGCTGCTGCCATTTGAATTATGGTGGGGGACATTGCTGGGGAGCCCATTAGCCTCTGTGGCCTCTGTGGCACATGGCCATGCTTTCATAAGCTTGCGAGAGATGGAGTTTTTCTATAAAGTTTTTTTTTTTTTTTTTTTGGTCAAAGAAAGCATTCTCCAAGGGCTGACTACAGACAGAATCCCTGGTCTTTTTGGCAGAATTCCCTGGTGCTTGCACAGCCAGGTTTTCTGTGCTCCAGCTCTGGTGTGTGACCCATGCTTTCAACACATCCAGGGCCAAACGAGGATCTTTTGGCTCGGGGCTGAATCTGACCATTTTCCTTCTGCAGGAAAGATGTCAACAATTCTATGGGTGGGAGAAGAAAGGTGACATTCAGGGTGAGGAGAGGTGGCCAGGACTGCTGAGCTGGCTCTAAGAGGAAGGATGAGGAGCAGGGCACAAAAATCCAGCCCAGGAGGGCACAGCCCATCCTGCCCCTGGGTCAGGGCTCTGCTGCTTTTCACTGCTGCCCAAACCAGCAGCACTGACACTGACAATGGGGATTTTTCCGAGCTCTTGCTCATCACACCAGATGTGCCTTGTGCTTTTTTTCAAGCTCATTTGAATGTATGTAATGGACTTCTGGCTTTGAAAAAATCATCGGTTACCAGATGTCTTTTAAATTGTCTACCTTGCAAGATTGTCCGTTACCAGATGTCTTTTAAATTGTAAACCCCTGCAGTCAGAGGTTAAAGCTGTGTCAAAACAGTCACCGATATGAATTCATATTACATTTTAAATGCATGATGATTTCCTCCAGCTCTTTCCCCTTTAAAAGCCTCTCATGGAAATGTTATGGCTCACCCAAGATTTGTCACCCGCCCATCGCTAGAGATTCAGTGATAAATGCTTTTAATAATTAACAGTGGCAGGAGCTTTGTACCTCTGTCTCGTGGATATCTCACCTCTCAGACAGCAGAAATAAAAGCCTGTTGTAACAGGAAGAGTAATGATCTGGTGGAAGGCTCCTGCAGCTGCACCACCAGGGCAGATCTTCTACAAGTGGAGCTGTTTGCCAGCAGGATTTTGTCCTGGGCCCAGCTGGGAGCTCAAGGCAGGTGGAGAAGCAGAGATGCTTGCAGAGTTCCTGAGGTAAAGGAGGTTTGGGGTTGTGTGGGGCTGGGAAGGGGCTGTGCAGGTCAAAAGGACAAGAGGGTTGGGTTTGAGTTTCCTTCTGAATCCGACTCTCCAGGGTCTCATCCAGGCTCTGTGCTGGCTGCCAAAACCCCAGACTGAGAGGCTATTTTGGGATACAGCAACACCAAGTGTTACTTCAGAGATGTTTGGAGAGAGATTTAATAAAATCAACTAATAAGGTTTGACGTGCTGAAGATTAGGAAAAGTCATCCCGAGCATCCGAGCTGAGCTCAGGGCTGGGAGGCTCGGGGAGTCATGTGTTATCCCGGGCATGGGAGCCCTCCTGGCATGGCTGGGGGACAGCAGCAGCTCCCCTCTTTGTGAGACCACCTCTGAGCTGTGGGGGCAAGCCTGGCACTGGATATTTGCCTTAAAATTAAAAAAAAAAATTAAAATAAGAGAGGGAAGAGGCAGCTGGGAGCTGCAGTGTGCCCTGGGGCCAGGCAGCTGGGGTGAGTGCAGCAGCTGTCCCCCTGTAGATCACACTGCCCCCCTGTAGATCACACTGTCCCCTGCCCAGCACTGGGCACTGAGGTCCCTGCTCACAGCCAGGCACTGCCCTCACCCCTGGTGCCAATGCTCAGGGCTGTCAGCTTCTGCTTTTGTTTTGATGGTTTTGGGTTTTTTTCTCCCCTTTTTGTCACAGGAGCAGCCCAGAATAGGATCACGAGGTCAGTGTTTGTGACTTCCCGAATAATCTCTAGCCTGGTTTTGGTGCTGACACCGTTGGGAAGGCAGTGCCACTGCTGCCCTCATGTTTCCATGTGACACCACTGCTCGCTGGCTTTTCCCATTTCATAACTAATGAGTGAAGTGAGCTTGACAGCCTTGGTTTCAGCTTCAGCCTGTTGGTTCCCATGTCACAGACAGGCTCTGTTAGCAGCAAATTCTTGTCAGGAGAAGAGAATTACAGCTGAAGCTTGAAATGTGCTGGTGTTCAGTGCAAAGCTTTAAATTCTTGACCAAAGTTAGATAAAGGCAGCTGAAAGTGTGACGTTTGAAATGCACTATCTATTTGTCTTTTCCTCCTCACCAAAAATACCTAGAGTGGAAGTATGTGTATTTGCATCCAAGCTGAGAACAGTTGATCTCCTCTAAAACAAAAAGGATAAACACAGCATTTTAAAATATTCTGGGTTTTAAAATCTGTGCAATTTTCCCTTGCCCTAGATATGTGTAGATTATCTGTATTGAAAGAAAGAGGTATGTATGGACATGTCTTTAAAGAAAAAGGAATGGTTAGTTCTCAAGGTGTGGGAAGATTATTTAACTGGTAATAAGAAAAAAATGTTAGTTCTCCCCCAGCAGTCATTAATAGCTCTGAGCTCCAGCCTGAGTGCAGATGGAGCTTTGATATGATCACACTTTTGCAGGGAGAATGTGCTGTATATCCTGCTGCTAATCCTGGGCTGGAAACCAGCTCCTCCCCACACCTGCTGCCAGGACCTGACACAACTGATCTCAGCGCAGCATTTGCAGCCCCCTGGGCTGGAGTTTGGATTTGGGCACATCCCAGCTGGGTCAGTCAGCGTGGGGCACTTTCTCTGCCTGCTGTCCTCCTGTAAAACCTCCCTCAGAGCCACCATTCCCTGCTGCCCTCCTGGGCCCCTGCAGCCCAACCATTCCCTGCAGCCCATTTCTCCCTGGGGCTGGGGCTGCCCCTCGCTCTGGGCACTGCAGGGTTTGTGCTCACTCACTGCTCTCAGTTCTGGCTCCCAGCAGGATGAGCCAGCCCTGATCCCAGCCTGGAACAGCTGGGAAATGCAGCAGCTCCTGGGCTCAATGAGGAACAAGTGTCTGTGGAGCTGGGAGCCCTCAGACAGCTCTGGGCTGCTTTAGGGAATGCTCCTTCCAGAGCCCTCCTGGCTGCCAGGCTGCCCCAAAATCTGGAGTCAAATGTGGATCCCGATGGTTTTGCCCTCTTTGTTAACATTTGGCAATCACATCTTGTTATTGAAAAGTTTTCTCAATGAGTGGAAGACTGGAGAGGGTTTTGGAGGGGTTTTTTTTGGTAATGGTTTGCAAAATGTCTGGTTTGGATCTGAAGGGACCCTTAGCCTGACCTCTGGTGTAGATCAGAGAGCATTGAATTTCCTGCACTTAACTTCCAGAGTCTATCCAAGAGCTGCCTAACCACAGTGCCTTCCTAGGGAAAAAAATGCTCTTAAATGCACTCATTTCAGCCTGGTAGAAATGTTTCTTATCCCTGATAGGGAGGAGTGGGATTTTCCAGAAGGGTTTGGAAGGAGAAACTTCTGACCTGGGCTCTCCATGCCTTCCCCCTGACCTCATCCCTGTCCCCAAACAGCACCCTGAGATCTGTTTGTGTCCTCTCCTGGTTGTGCTGGGGGTTACAGAGATATTAAATGAGCTAAAGGGGCAGAGAGGGAAGAGATATCCATTGGGGAATAAAGAGGGGGCAGGCATGTAACCCAACTCAGCAGGGACAGGGTTCATGTGACCTTGTCCCACATTTGAGTGGGAAATTTCCAGCTCAAACCAGGTATTTATTATTCCACACAGATGTTTGCAATGGCATATGAGCCACCAGTGCTGCTCTTTTGCCCAAACCCTGTTGGGCCAGGCACAGAGCAGCAAGGTGTCCCTGTCCTGCAGAGGTCTCAGACTCACAAGGAAATTGCTTCTCTGTGTCCACTAATTTCCTCTCCTAGAGTTAAAGTGCAATGAAAAATAAATGATTTGAAGTGACCTCTTGAGATGGATGTGCTGCCAGCAGGCACTGGCCTGCCTTGGGTAATGGAAGACTGGGGGTTCACAGATTTGGAAAGCTGCAGTGTAGCTTTGCTAAAGTGACACAGATTAAGATATTCTAGAGATTATCTTCCAAAAACATGGTGGTCAAGGGCTTAATGACTTAAATTGTGGTCAAATGTCTGCTTGTTATCAATTGTCTATTGCCAGTTAAACTGCATTAATGAAAGTCTCTTGATAAAAGCTGCCTTATCACCCGGAACCGAGATACCCAGCCTAATGTGCTCCAGCAGGGCTGGAGGAAATTCTCTTTTCAGCAGCAGAGGAGACGAGGTGTCGCTTTCCTGAATTAGGCTGACTCAAATGGATGGTCAGGCCCTCCAGAAAGAAGCAATTTCTTTCACCTTTTGTGCAAAGGGCTGCTTTATCCATGTGTCAGAAAGGGTTCTGGCTGTCTTGCAGGAGCCAAGCAAACACACCTTGCTGGCCATTTGCAGGGGCTGGAGGCAGCATCACTGCACCCTGAGGGGATCCACAGCACAGCCCTCTGCCATAGCCACTTACTTCCTTGGAGAAAACGGGCTGAAAACAGTATTTAACATTGTTGGTGACAATTTTTACAGATTCATTACCTGTTTTTTGTTCACTGTTTGGCTGCCTGCTCCCCTTCCATCTGCCAGCCGTGTAATCCACCTCCTCTTATCTCAGCACAGCTCTCTCCACCTCTTGCTCATTTTCATTTTATTGCCTAGCTAATCTCATCCTCCTGCTTTTCCTGACACTGCTCCCTCCTCCCCATCTGTGGAGATTAAATCACTGCTCCTTTTGTCTGATGCCACTCAACATTCCCCCATTTCACTCGGGCTTTGGGACGCTTCCAGGCACTTTTGCTGTTGTTGCACACATCCGTTTTCCTGGCACAAAAAGGCCCAGCAGCATCTGATGGGAGTGTTAGGGAGTCCTCTTTCAACCAGTTCTCAGAGGTGTCCTGAATCTGAAATGGAGCCCAGCTCAGCCTGCCCAGTGCAGCACAGCCAGGTGAGTGTCTGCAGCACCAGGACCATCAGCAGGATGCTCAAGGCAGCTCTGCAGTGCTGACAGGGCTGGCACCTGAACATCTGAGAAAATTCTAGACCAAAGGTGTGGCTAGGAAATCTCCGAGCTCTCAAAATGCGAAGTTTTGGAAGTGTTTTCTCATTTTATTCTAGTCAACCATCTTCCCTATTGACAACCTGTCAGTGTTCATGGCCTCAACACTTTTACTCTAATAACTGCTGAGGGTTTTGAGTCAAGCTTGAACAGTTCAAGGGTGTTTAGTTCATCCTGGGATAACAACCCCAGGTAGGGACACTGGATTTTCGTGCCACGTGTTTCTGGCACCTTTCCACCTTCCTGCAATGCTGGAGACTCTCAGCAGCACCTCCTCCCTCCACCTGTGGGATTGTGCAAGGCCTCTGAAGGCCCTGCTGCTCATGTGGGCTCAGCAGGGCCTTTAACTCCCCAGAATATTCAAACTGTGTTTCAGGGACACATTCCCTCCCAGGGAATGCCACTTGCTCTGCTGTGAGCACCCCAGTGTGTTTGCTGCCAGAACAGATCCTAAAGTCTTGGTTCAAATTTTGAGTGATTCTCACTCCGAATACATGGGAGATGGTCCCCTTAGCAAGGACTCCTGCTGTCTGACTCTAATAATTGAGTTTAGATGTTAATTTTTATGCTGTTTGAGTTATACTTTTTGCCTTAATCTCAACTCACGATACCAACTATGGCGCATTTGCTGTATCTCCCCTCACCACCTTTATCTGCCACCATGTTTTAAATTACTTTAAAGAGTATGGGAGCTAAAAAAAACCCCAAAAAAACAAAACAAAACAAAAAAAAAACAAACCAAAAAACCCCAGCAGCTTCAGCTGAAAGGCAGCAGCATGCCTTTAAAATAGAGCAGCAGCCCTGCACAAGGTGCCGAGCGAGTGGGAGCACGGCGGGGAGAGCAGAGGTTCTGTTTAAAGAGAAGGTAAATAAGTGGCTGGGGGAGCTGCAGTTCATCTTGTTCCCTTACGTGGTGCCCAGATAATGCAGCGGATCCTCGGGCAGGCTGGTTCTAAAAATGGCCACAGCTCTTGGGTTTCAGGGGTGACACTGGGCCGCCCGTGGGAGCAGCGCCATGGGATCGTGCCAGGGAAATGGCATTTGGTGCTCCTCAGCCAGCAGCAGTGCTCAGCTCTTGCCACTCTTGCTGCTTTATGAGGAGGACTTCTGCAGTGAAGACTTTGTGATTTCATACCCTGGTGCCTAATGCAAAACTTGCTGCCTGTAAATCCCTGGGGTCAGGCAGGGTTTTGTTAAAATTCCCTTTCCTGCTGTGGTTGACCTGTGAAAGCAGCAATCATCTGACAGTGACAGCAGCACTTAATTATTAATTCAGGATTAAAGTGGGCTGTCCAGTGAGTGATTTCACAGGAGCAGAGTTTAGGATTGAAGCTAGTTTAATATAACAATTGTCTTGAAAGCCTCCTTGGCATTTTAATGGTGTTTTTCTTTGGTCTAAATATATATGAGAAGTTGAGAGGATGTTTAAATCTGAGCAGGGTATAAAAGGGACCAAGAGAAAGACTGAAAGGTCCTGTCCAAGCTCCACCCAGTTGTGTGAGCCCCTGGCTTCCCTAGGACAGGGCACCATCCCAGGAGCTGCAGCAATCACCATTCCTCTCACTGCTCCAGATGAGCATTAATATCTTTACCTTCCTTGTCACCCTCCTGTCTCCTGCCCAGCTGAGCTCAGCTCAGTGCAAAGGACAATGTTTGTTACCCTTCAGTGTCTGCAGCAATGGCCACCTAGCCCTTCCCTGCTCCCAAGGAGACTATGTTTGCATTGAGCATATGTTGCTCACTGGAATGGAGAATTCTCCATTTTTTCTAAATGAGTTTTCTCAGGCTGTCCCCATTCAGCAAATTCGGGAGAGAAAGGGCAGCAGTGCCCCTTGGCCAGAGCATGGCAGCACTTCTGTTCTCCTCCAGGAGAAAGCAGAGTGCAGCCTCCCCATGGCAATAGAGTGATCCTCTGTTGGGCGAATTGTTGCTTACAAGGTTAATTAGCTGTAGAAAATGAGCTAGAATACTTGGGACTAATGAATCATAATGAGTCATTATATTTGAGGAGTGACAAATTAAATTCATGCATGTTTTGGACTACTTGTTTCAGTCAGGATGGAAAATAGTGCTCTGCTTTCTTCTGCTGTTCTGCTGTCATGTCAAGATGTCAGGAGATAAATCAATATGGCCAGAGCTTGTAAAGTCTGGCACTGCTTGATTTCATGGTGTTTAATCTCTCTCCTGGGTCCTTGAGCTGGGCTAGGAGCAGGATCTTCTCTGGAATCAATACTTTTGCTTCCACCTTCAACAGGAGGGATTTTGATCTGTTACTGAGAAAACATGAAGCTTCTCCTAAGCTAAAAGAGAAAAAAAAAAGTGATGTCCTAATACCATGAGGGGTAGTGTCCTCTGGCAGCTCAGACTGAGGTGTGGCACCCTCATCTAGGCAAGTACATTAAATTACAGCTCCACCTCAACACCAAGGTGAATCAAGGGACCTCTTGGAACCAAGATTCGTGAGATCCTTCAGCTCCTGCTGCCCCCAGAGGAATCTCTGGAGTTTTTCCGTGGAATTAGACCAAGCAACGTAGCCAGACCAGGAGCAGACAGGCATTGTGACCCCTGAAATACATGGGAAGCAAGGATAAGCAAGCTGCTCCTACCTGGAAGATTGCTGCTGGAATCTCAATGTGAGATGAAGGACGCAGTGAAAAAGAGGAGCTTGATGAGAAGGATTCATTCTTAGCCCCTTTCAAGCATTGTAATATGTCCCTGGTGAGCTGAAGCCTGGCACAAGCTGCTGTGCTTGGTTTGGGGTTTTTTAGTGTTGGTACCAAGGTTCAGCTGGTTCAGACTGGAGGAGCTGTGAGCAGTGGGAGGGTTTGAATTCACAGCCTTCCTTTTAAATATATCAGCGGTTCCACAGGGCAAGTGGGACTGCTGCTGACTCAGTTCTTTGCTGGATTGATGCCTCTGCAAGTGTTTGGAGAGATTTGACAAATCTTTCTGTCTGTTGAAGGTTCCATGGCATTATTAGCTGTTTGTCACCACTGGGAGAAAACATCTTTCACACCATCTCAGAGCAAAGAGCACCTTGGGGCTCAAAGACAGAAGGTACCAACTGGCACTTAGTTTTGCTACTAATTATATGCCAGAACCCAATGTAAGTTAGGCCCAAATTAGTGCATTTCTCCAGATGTTTTCACAGTTTCCCTGCTTGCAGCCCTGTGGGTTGTGTTCTGAGTTTTTAAGCACTCATTTTGGTCCTTTCCACTCCACTGTTGTGGTTGGTCCTGGCAGGGTCAGGTGCAAACTCCCACTTGCTCAACACTGTAAGGCATCAGTGACACAAAGTGGGAAATTCTCCTTGGGGTGCAGAGCTCCTTCAGGAGGCAGCCAGTGGGGTGAGTGCTTACAGACCTGTCCCTGTGCTTGGACATGTGGGTTCATGTACAATATCTTCTGTGAAAGCAGCTATTCTGGCTCCTGCCAGGCTGCTCTGAAGACCCATACAATGATGTTAATTGTAAGCCACAAGCTGGCTCTTATCTTCAAATTGTTTTTCCCTGACAATTTTAAGAAGAGCTCAGCATGTTCTCAGTAGGAGCTGATAGATGCTAAGCACTTCTGAAATCCTGCCAGCTTCATTTAGGTTCCTAAACAGGAACCGAGTGCTCTTGAACATATGATCCTAAGGGTGCATTTCATAACTCTACAGCTCTGTCCATATCATTCCTTTCCTCTCTGCCTGTCCCCAGAATGCTCCTGGCAGCAGCAACAACACCAGGAGCACCAGGCTAGTCAAGGCTTGAGTGATGTCTCAGTTAGGATGTCAGCTCAAGCCACACTGAGCAGAATTAAGTGACAGCAGTCAAAAGGTGCCTGTCTGCATCCTGTGTGCAGTGATGTCCCCATCATCACCACCAGCACTGTGGATATATTTGAGATAGCTGTAATGGATTTTATTTATGGACATGACAACAATAATCTAGTGCAAATCCTGCCTTGTTTTTCAGAGTATTTCATTCCATGTTTCAGGCCATGTACTGTACTGTACTTGACAATGCTCTGACTCTCAATTTCAGGATTCAAATTTTCTCCTCAGCAGATTCTTGGGGCAGATGTAATGAACATTTTGCAGTGTTCATGGGGCAGGGGAGGAGGGCAGACAGGCCTTTATCTGAAGCTTTTCCAGCAGAGTGAGTGCATGGACAGCATCTGCGTTGGAGCTGTGGGGCTGACATCCTCTCCAGCACACTTGGCAGCGAGCGCAGGGACCACATGTCAAAAATCTGGGGGGCCCAAAGGCTGCGGACAAAAGTACGGCAAAGAATTTAAACATCAGTGAGCGGAGAGCTGCTGGAGGGCTGGGGGGAGCGATTAGCGCAGTGCTCTGGAATGCGGCGCTTCAATAGCGCTCCAGAAAGCTCTGCAGCCCCATTGACTTGTGCCGCGTCAGGACGGGGCCGTGCGGGGCTTCCTTTCCTTTCCTTTCCTTTCCTTTCCTTTCCTTTCCTTTCCTTTCCTTTCCTTTCCTTTCCTTTCCTTTCCTTTCCTTTCCTTTCCTTTCCTTTCCTTTCCTTTCCTTTCCTTTCCTTTCCTTTCCTTTCCTTTCCTTTCCTTTCCTTTCCTTTCCTTTCCTTTCCTTTCCTCTTTTCTTTCCTCTTTTCCTTCCTCTTTTCTTTCCTTTCCTCTTTTCTTTCCTTTCCTTCTTTCCTCCCCTTTCCCCTTCCCTCCCTTCCCTGTCCTCTCCCGCCCTCTTTCCCTTTCCTTTCTCCTTTCCTTTCCTTTTTCCTTTCCTTCCCTTTTTCCCTTTCCTCTCCTTTCTCCTTTTCCCTTAATTTTTCCTTTTTTCCTCTTTCCTTTTTCTTTTTTTCCTCTTTCCTTTTCCCTTCTTTCCTCCCCAGCAGCCAGGTGCACACAAGGTGCATTGCCAGAGCCCCCTTGGCAGCCTGCAGCAGTGTCAGCTGTTTCCTTGCCCTGGGCTAATGTGCTAAAAGCCACCTGATCCAGCTGTTGCCAGCTGTGCACTGGGGTGAGGTTTGCATGTTTTTCTCACATTTGTCAGTGTGGGGTTTTGGTTTATTCCACTGGTTTTGGTTTCTTTGGGAATGGACCCAGCAGGACTAAGCATGTGTCTGTGGTTGCATTCACTTGTTTTGTTTTGTTTTCTTTAAATTTTCCTTCCCCTCCCCTTCAGATTTCTAGGTAAATAAATCCAAGTGCGGAATGAATTAAAACCAAAGCTGGGTGGAAGGCCTGGAAGGCCTGGCTGATGTGAGCACATGCTTTTTTAGTTGAGGTGGGAGAAGAGCACACTCATTCAAGCCCTCATGCAGGGCAGGGAATTCCCTGGCTTTTGTCTAAATATGGCAGGAGAGCAGAGCACAGGCAGTGCAATGCTTCACTGAGGATTGTTTAAAAGGGAGCTTGGCACCAGCCAGCAAGTAGGATTCTTGTGAAAACATGGCACAAGGAGTTGTTTGACAGATTCTGACACAGCAAAGTATTTACAAGAGAAAAAAAAAAAAAGAAAAAAAAAAAGAAGAAGGAAAAGAGAGAAAGTGCAGAATGCATGAATGCAAAAGCATATTGTCTGCCTAGGAAGATTGCAGAATAAAAGGTGCTTAGCACTGAGTCATACCCTGCATGCTCTGTGGGCCTGATCCTATCAGTGATTCATGGCACTGAGTTAAAAATCCACTCCTAAATGATTGCCTCTCTCATCAGAGGGTATGAAGAGCAGTGAGAGCTGGAGAAGAGGCTGCCATGGCTTGAACCCACTGGCCAGAGTCTCTACCCAGACCTGCCAGGCTGGATGGATCCATCCTCTGCCATCCACCCTGCAGGCAGTGGAGTTTCACCAGCAGGTCTCTGGATGCAGCACTCAGGCCCCAGCAATCCTGTGGTCTGTGTAGGTGTCTCCTTTTTGCAGAGCTTATGCTGAGCTGTGGTTTTGAATCCCTGTTGCAGCAGCAGTCCCTGCCTGGAGGAAACCCTTCTCCCTCTGCCTCTGCTGCATCTGGAGACATTGTGAGAACCTTGGAGCATGAAGGCCTTTGGACATCTCAGCAATGGAGAATTTTGTGTCCAAAATTCCTGGTCTATTGTTTAAATATGGCCATGATGTGAGTGTGATTTGAGGGAGGGAGAACTTATCCAGAACTCAGCACTTCTGGAGGTCTCAGATGAGAACACATCCCTCGATGATTCTGCTACAGATAACAGCTACTGGGCAGTCTGTGCAGCTCATCCAGAGGAGGACTTGGCTCAGCCTTCCCTACATTTGCCTTGAATGCAACATCCAAGCAGGATCATAGCTGGAGCTTCCCCTCATCAAAGGTAAGTCACTCTTGCTCTGCTTGGCTGGTGCCTTGCAATGTAAACTGCAGTGATAGGAGCAGTCTGTAATTAGCACATGCCCTCAGGCAGTTCTGTTGTTCCTGAAATGCAAGGCCTAAACTGTTCTGCTGCCACAGGATTGGTTTGGTGAGTGCTTTAAGTGCATTTGTACTTGGGTTAGTGAAAGCTGCTCCCCAAGAGTGCTCTGGTATGGATCAGAAACCAGGATTCCAGATCCACTCCTGTGGGCATCTTCCAGTGAAACCAGGGGTTAATCCATCACCTGTGCTGCCTGTGAGATGCACTCCATGGCAAAGCAACACAGCCCAGGGGTTTCTGTGCCATCTTAGCAAAGGCACAGGAGCACTCTCCCACCCTTTTTGAGCATTTCAGTTGATGCTGTTAATTGCTGTGGAGCTGCTGCAAATATTTCAGAAAGCAAATATTTGGTGTCCCCATCCAGCAGAAAATAAGCAGAAGAACCAACCACCTGCCACTCACTTTGTCACCTCAACAAAACCAGGCTGGGGCTGAGAATCAATAGCAACGAAACTGAGCCTTTGTGGTGAGTTCTGTCTGAGCTGGGAGAGCAAACAACACCTGGAGGAGCTGGGCATGGGCTGCAAGGGAGCGGGATGGTGGGCAGAGGCTGTTTGTGCTCCAGGGTGGGGCTCTGGCACGGCAGGAGCAGGAGGAGGAGGAGGATGGCTCCATCAGCCCTGGTGGGGGGGTGCCTGCCCTGCCCTGGATGGCAGCAGCTCCTCTGTGCCTGCAGGAGCAGAGCCTGGAGTGGAACTGCCCCAGCCCCACTGCTCCTGCCTGGGCTGGGCTCAAACAGAACTGGGAAATCACTGGCCTGGCTTAATTTTTAAGATTTAATTTTTAAGATTTAATTCTTAAGATTAATTTTTAAGATTAATCACCACTCACACCTCTGCCCAAGCCGGATTCCCAAATTAAACCAGGGAATTTTGCCCTCCCTGGGAAGCAGGAGGATGGCACAGTACCCGCTCTGGCTGGGCCCAAATTCCCAATGTCCAAGTGATCTGCGTTTGGGTGCTGGGTTTTTCTAACTTTATCTTTTTTTGTTGTTGTTTTTAGCCTTCTAAAAACAAACTTCAGATTCGTCAGCTGGAAGTGATCTCATCGCATTACAGATTTGCTTTCCTGGGAAACTGAACCCTTCTGGTGTGATGATGGGAAAGTCTCACCTTCCCTTCTTTAATATTCCTTTAACCAAGGTTCTATTGAAATTAGCTTGGCAGGGCAACAGCTCAGAAAGAAAGACACAAAAGAAAACCCTATGTTGCTATTAGGTTTTTTATTCTATTTATTTTCTTACCCATCTCATGATTTTGGGGAGAGGGCAAGTCATTTTTTTAATCTTTATTGACACATATCCAAATCTCTAGAGAAGGATACATTTCACTAACGCAGGAGTCTGTTTGTTCCACTGCCAGCAAAAAAATAGAGGCAAACCCCAATAATTAATTGTTGTCTTTGGTAGTTTTCTTTGAGCTGCAACACTGTCTGCTCACTCCTACTCCTTTTTCTGCCTCTTACAAATTCTTCGCACAAGTGGGAGCCCAGCTCAGCGCACCCAGTGCAGGATCCCTGTCCTCGAGTGAGGATGGGCTTGGCTCCTCTTCAAAGGGATCTTTCATCGAGTGCTCAGTGTGATGTGACAAAGCAGGGAAGTGTGCCATGGATGTGGCGCTTCCTAATCCCCTCCTTCTACCTTGATTAAACTCGAGGGCAATTACCCTTGCCAGGGTGGTGAGGGCTGCCAATGTGCATCTTGTTTACAGCTGTGCTCATTTTTTTCTTTGTTTTCCCATTTTGCACTAGGGAAAAACTCATCTGCTGTATGCCATGGATAAAATCCATTTTAAACACCAGGTTTCTGCTGTTTTGCCACAGGAGCTGGGGGATTCAGGGCGTTGTGTTTCAGGCTGGCACAGTTGCTGTCATGTGCAAAGTGATGCCCAGGCTCCCAGAGACCTGCAAGGTCTCACTGTCAGTGCAGGGAAGCTTTGGATGGGGCCAGTAGAAACTAAAAAGATTTATTATGGGACTATTTTATTGTGCTAGGAAAAAGAATTTACTGTCTGGTGTGAGTGGGCTTTAGACGCTGCTGTAGATTCCAGATGAAAATTTCACAGCATTTGCCATTCCATTTTGCCCTATTTTATTTTCTGTGTTTTGCTTTCATTTCTAGAATCTGCCATATTCTGAATTCTGATAAATTTAGAAAGTCTTATTTTCAAAAACAAACAACCACACCATATTTTGGCAAAAAATACTTGGGTAAACATTTTTATTTTACCAATTTCCCAATTGCCTATAGCAGTCACTTTAAAAAAAGACTGCATCTAACTAATTTTACTTGAAAATATTTTTTCTTTTTTTCTCTCTGTTTTTTTATCCCTTCACAAGAAGCAGGCCAGATTTCAGAGAAACTTTACCAGGAAAAATGCACATCAGCACCCTGAGATATTTCCATGTTTGGCTTTGAATCTGTCAGTTCTACGTGGAGAAAAAAATACATTGTGAATTTTCTAGTTCAGAGATTCGTAGTTTGGTGGTTTGGGCAGAATGCACTGAGGGCAGGAGCTTTTCTCCATGGTCATTCCTGCCTCCTCCCTGTGTTTCACCCCTCACTCTGTGCCCTGGCAGCCTGCTGGCTTCCTCCTTTTTTCTCTGGATAATCTTCCTTCTTTTTTTTTTTTTTGGCTAAAACAACACGACAGTCTGTTTCAGCTGATTATGACACGATGCTGAACTTTTCTTCACCAGGACTCTCTGGTTGCCCCTGCAGCCACCAGACCAAGGTGGGTCACCATGGCCAGCCCCTGTTGCTCCTGTCTCTGTGCTGTGATGCCAGGAGCAGCCTGGCATTCCTCTTGGCACCATCCTGGCAGGGGTGGCCGGGCAGGCAGAGCCAGGGCCAGGCTCCCACAGGCTGTTCCCATTCCTGCAGCAGCCTGCCCACCTGTTCTCTGCTGTGCTGGAATACCAGCCAGAGCCTTGGCTCTGCTGTTGCAGGCTGTGAGGGGTGGTTTTTAATCCCTCTGTTCAGAGTGTTTCCAGGAACAGGAGGAGAAGCATACGGCATATGCTCACCTCGGCTCCCAGGAGGGGGGGGGGGTGTCCCAGCAGCTGATGGGGTGATCCTTGTCCGTCTGTCCTTCCACAGCCACCTCTGAGGGTGTGCTCAGGGTGTCGGGCATCACCCCATGAGCAGGTGAGCTCCACAAGCAGGTGCTGTCCCTTCCTCCCCTCTGCAGCCAGCAGCACGGACAGGGTGTCACAGGGCAGAGGGGCTGGAGGAGGGACTCCATCCTCTCCTGGTTTTCCTTCAGCTGGGTCAGCTCCACAGCAGGGCTGGGAGCACCTCAAGGGCACAGGAGCTCCCTTCATGGTCACAGTGGTCCTTGAGTGCTTGGAAGTTTGTTGGATTAAGGACTTACATTTGACCAAAGCAGGTGAGATCTGGATGCACCTTTGGGCTCAAAACACATGAGATATCTGCAGCGGTAGAGCAGGGGGAGTTTGGAAGTCTGGAAGTTTGGAAGTTTGTTGGATTAAGGACTCTGGTTTGGCCAAAGCAGGTGAGATCTGGCTCCAGCTTTGGGCTCAAAGCACACGAGATATCTGCAGCAGTAGAGCAGGAGGAGCAGGCTGAGTGCTGAGCTCCTGCATCCTGCACTGCCCACATCTGCCCTTGTCACCAAATCTCCAGCACACCCATCCCTGATGTCCTGCATTGCTCGTTGCCTGACCCTCAGCTGACCCAGCTGCAGCCAACAGGAACACTGGCATCACTGGCATCACTGGCACCTCATCTTCCCCCTCCTTTTCCCTCCTGCGTGCCCACCCTGCCCTGGGCACCATCTGCTGAGCTTGGGGCTGTCTCCCCTCACCAACTGTCGTCTGTCCTGCCTGGAGGGGCAATGTGCTCACGTTCTGCATCAAAGGACCCTCAGCCCCTCTCTTTGTGGGCCAGCCGGGCTGTCGGAGAGGAGCCAAGCACTTGGCACTCAGCAAGCAAGGAGCATTAATGAAAGCATTGCAGTGAGGTTAGAGCCTCATTAAAGCACTGCTAACGAACCGTCTGCCTTCCAGAAACATGAGATTTTAGCTAACACTTCCTCCTTCTAACTTTATGTATATTTAAATCTTTCTGGGCAGGCAATATCCATTTCTCCAGGCTGCTACAGCATAAACAAAGCCCATTTCAGAGGAGCTGCTCTGGAAGTGCCTTTGGGTGCTGTCTCCAGTCCTGCAGCCTCAGCAGCCACGGTCTGTGTGGTCATGGCAGTGTCCTGGGTGACACAAACCCCATCACGGTCTGTGGGGTCATGGCAGTGTCCTGGGTGACACAAACCCCATCACGGTCTGTGTGGTCATGGCAGTGTCCTGGGTGACACAAACCCCATCACTCCCAGGTGCACAGCAGCACTGTGGGATGAAGGCAAGCTCTGGACCCACCACTGCCTCTCTCCCAGCCCTGCCACTGCTGCTGGCAGCCTTTGCCAGGTGTGGTTTTGGGGATGGAGATTCCACAGCAGTGCCCCGAGGTCTGTGAGCATCACCTGGGCTGGGGCTGGCACTGCTGGCTCAGCCAGGTGTCCCCAGGGGTTTGCACAGGGGGGTTCACTCTGGGTGTCCCCAGGGGTTTGCACAGGGGGTTTCACTCTGGGTGTCCCCAGGGGTTTGTACAGGGGGTTTCACTCTGGGGCCCCCCAGGCTCCCCAGCACCCTCGGGGCTGGCTGCAGGTGGTGCCCAGACCCCCAGCTGCCCTCGCAGCCCATTGTAAAGCAAATGAATTCTCCCAGGGCTCAGGAATAGCTTGGCAGGGAGCAGAGCAGCTGCTCCGGGACTCAGTGCCCCTGTTGGATTTCATCTCTCTGATTTCAGCAGCCTGTGAGGGGCAGGGGAGCCATGGGGACGTCTCTCTGCATGGGTGAGCTCACAGCTTCTCCTCCTGGACATGCTCCTCACTTCAGACAGGATTTTATTCTCTTGCTCTCTTTGAAGCACACCCAGAGGTGTCACTGTCAAAGGACAGTGTTTGATGGATGAATCCATCTCTTTTACCTCACAGGGTAAACACGGTGTTTTGACAATAAATGCCATTTTCTTGAATGGAAACAAGCAGTCCAAATGGCTTCTGCTGGGTTTCCAAATTGTCTGGAGGGTCTGCCCTGGGGAGAGGGCTGTCAGGAGAGTAAACTGGTGTTAAACTGATGGTTTGTGTTGCAGAGACTCAGAGCTGGATGCAGCTGCAGGTTGGTGCTGAGGGTGTTCCCCCATTGCTCCCGAATGTTGTGGGGCTGCCCTGGCACCCTTGGGTGTCCTGCCTGGGGCTGGGGGATGGCCACAGCCTGGGGGAGGGAGTTCGTGACTCACTGTGAAATTTCCTCTCCCTTTCAGGCATTACAACACAGATTTTCCTCTTGCACAGGCCCCAGCTCTGCAGACAGGCACTGCCCTCGCTGCAGGGAAATTGGTAGGATGTCTTGGGGCAAAGGTAAAACTAAAGTACATCAGTAAATGTTAGCAGGATCAGGACCTTATTCAGGCATAAATCAGGTAGCTCCAGCCAACAATAGAATTACCTAAGTATAAAATCCCATGTAAGCCAGTAAGATCAGCTCCAAACCTGCTATGAATTTGCTTTTTGTTTCCATGCCAAGAATATATCACTGCTAACTGCTGCAATCAGGGCTGGTCCTTTCAGGTTGTTTTAAGTGCTTTTGAGCACGTTTATTTCCCATCCCCAGCAGATCCACACAGAACCTGGCCCTCCTTCCCTGGGGCATGCCCCAGCCTGTTCACCCACAATAAATTGTCCCTATCAGGGAATATTTTTTTTCTCTTTCCTGGCTGTTTTTGTTACTGCATTCGGTAAACAAAGGGACAGCAGCAGTGACGATCCAAACCCATTCTTTTTTATTTGCCTGGGAACAGAGTCAACTATTTGTTGGTCTTTTGTTGCTGTTTTTGTTCTCTTTTTAGCCAGAGCCCGTTGGAGCAGCTCCTGGTACCTGTGGGCAGCACGTACTGGAGCTGCAGCATTTGTCACCTGCTGCCACCAGCCCAGGGAGGGGCAGCGAGGAGGACAAGGTGGGGTAGATACCAGGTACCAGGTCAAACCAAAGGTGCAGGGCACAATGGTCCCTTCTGTCCCTCCCAAGCAATATGGGAACAGCCTGCAGCGGTGTCCTGGTGGCTGTATGTGCCTCAGTTTCCCCAGTTCTCAGTGCACTGAGATGAGAGGTCTGGTTGCACCTGGCTGAGCCAGGGTGATGCCAGCTCTTGGAGATGAGCTGCTCAAAACACTTGGCAGGAGAAGGCAGGGAGAGATGGGAGGGAGGGAAGGAAGCTGGACGCTCTTTGAGCCTGAGGACAAGCTTCTCCTGGCCTCTCCATCTCGGGGGCCTGTGCAGCAGCTCTGGCAGCTCCACGCTGGGCTCTTCTTGGCAGAGACACCAAGAGAAGCACCCTGGCTGCCACTGCCACCCCACCTGTGACTCCAACCCACACCAGGGCTCTCCAAAAACCCAGCAGAGCTTCCCCTTCCCCATTCCACTGGGACACAGCACAGCCAGGAGCAGGAATGCATGCTTTGGGCACTGGTGTGGGCTGGGGACACCCATCAGAGCCATTTGTCACCCCAGGCCACTCTGGAACAAGGTGGGGAAGCTGCTCTGCTGCCTGTGCCAGGCACAACTCCTGTGCTGCAAACCAAACCTGCAGGGGAGCATCCCCGGGAGCCATCTGGTGCCTCTGAGCCTTTGATGGAGTGGAACAAAACCAGAGCAGCCCAGCAGGTTGGACCGTGAGCCATGCTGAGCCCTGGGGACCCGTCCTGCCCTGCTCAGGCTGCCTGCCCGGGTGCTTAGGAGTGTGTTGGTGTCTCCTGCCAGTGCTGCTGGGACTGGGGGGGTTTGCACGTAAAGGAGGATGGGTTTGCGGTCAGGAGATACGAGTGGAGGGAGCAGCATCTCAGAGCAGCATCCCAAACACCAGTCAGGCAGCAGGGGAGCTTGGGGACACGTGGTGTGTGCTCTGACCTGTGCCAGGACAGCCAGGACTCAAACCTGTCCCCAAGGCTGAGGGCGGCACGGCCAAACCACCATGGATGGCTGGAGAGGCTGCCCTGAGCTCTGCTCCTCCTGGGGAGATCAACAGACCCACAGCACACAGGAGGAGGGGTGCATGTTTAAGTCCACCCAAACAAGTCCCAAACCCACAGAGGCAAGAAAAATTACTCAGGAGAATTCCTCTGGAATTTTACCTCACACCTCACTTTGTGATGCTCTGGGTTTGCTGTGGAAAGGCACAGCCCGCCTTGGTTGAATCTCATTATATTAAGCATTTGCTGCCTGGTTTCCAGGAGCTGTGAGCAGCATTTGCCATGCTGGGAAGCAGGCTGGAGGAGGGATGTGTGCCCTCCACCTGCAGCTGTGGGGGCTGCAGTGACTCACTGATATCAGGGGGCTGCCCAGAAAGGACCTGGGGATGTTTATGTTGCAAGGGCTTCTGGAGTTTTGCTCTATAATTACAGTTACAGGCAGATTTCAGAGTTTACTCTAAATGAAAAAGGGAGGAATGATTGTTTCTGACTGGTCATGGATTCATTTTTTAATTGTGTACCCACAATGTGTTGTCATGCAAGAAAAATCTAACCCTTAGAAAAACTCATTTCAAAATGAGTAACTGCAACATTTTTTCAGTCATTGTCTGAGAAGGCTCTTGCAGGACTGCTGGGACTTCCCTTCTCCCCAGAATGAGATTCTGGTGTAATTAATGGGGCATTTGGACTCTGATAGCATTTGCTTCAATCCAGTTTCTCATGGAAACCCTCCTGATGCCTCTCAGACCTTCATGAAGGTATGTAAGCTTTACTCCCCCACTTTCTGCCTCCCAGAAGGAGAATGGGAACTGGAAAATTCCCCAGGTTCTTGGCAGAGAGGCTGAGGTGGTGTGGCTCTGCACAAAGCAGCTCTGGCCATGGACCCTGGCAGCAGTTTTATCTTTTGCTGGGCTGGGAATCATGACCTCAGCCATTGCAGCAGGTGTTCTCTGGGGCAGTCTGCAAGGAAATTGGTTTAAATAGCAATAGCATAATTTATCCATCTGAACCAGCAAAGTGTTAATGTCTCAGGGGTGAAACAAAAATTCTGTGAAACTTTTAGGGCTTTCCTTGATTTTTCTGCACCCAGAGAGGCTCTCAGGGCTGTGCCTTGTGCTTGTCCATCACTGCCTGGAGAATGCCCAGCACAGAGAGGCCGTTTCTGCTGATAACAGGAAAGTCAGTGTTTGGTCCTGCTGTCAACAGGCTTTAGCTTGGAGAGAAACCTCCACTAATCAGCTGCTTTGTGGCATTTTTACAGCAAGATAAAAGATGCCTGGAATTATTTGTTGGTCACCAAGCAAATGTTTTTACTGGTGAAATGTTCCAGAGGCTGTTTAGAGTCTGATTGACAAATGTGCCAAAACTTTGCAACCGTCCCCATGCCCTCCCCTCCTCAGATCCAGGGCTGAGATGGGAGATGGAGCTGATGGAGCTGATGGAGCTGTAGATGAAGAAGGAGATGGAGCAAAAGCTCAGGGGTAACCCTGGGTTGAAGTGAGGGGAGAAGCTCATTTGTTATGCAAATATCTGCCTCAGCCTGGCGTAGACAGTGGAAAGCTCAAATTATTTTAAGCAGAGGACCAAAGTTCTCTCCATCCCCCTATCCTCTTGGATCCTTGGAAAAATAGAAACCTCTGTGTGAACCATCTGACAATGATCAGCACTTGGCCTCTCTGGCAAGAGCTGGGTGAGCACAGGCGCATGGAAATAGAACAATTAGGGGGAAAAACGGCATTGGAAGCAGCCAGGCTTTGTGTTGTCGTGATGACGGCATGAAGGGATCATCCTGCAGCCTTATCTCTGGAGCCTGCCAGGCACAGCAGAGCTGCAGGGCTGTGTGGGTGACACACAGAGGAGCTGTGGCAGCTTCCTTGCTGCCTGCTCAACTCTCAGGGCAAGGAGAGCAGCAAGGGTGGCTGTTTTGGATGCAGGAAACCCTTTCAGGCCCAGAGTTCGAGGTGGGAGGCTGGCCCACGCACGGGAGGCACCCGTGCATGGCAGTGACCTTCCTGCACCAGTGACCGGCCACCTCGCCAGCTTTGCATGAGCAGATGTGCATTTCATGCTGCTAAGAAAACCCTGTCAATATTTACATAGTGTCCAGGGGCACCAAGGGGACAAAGCTGAGCCTTTCCCATGTGGGCAGTGATGCCAGGCTGCCATTTCCATGGGAGAGCCAGGCCTGTGCCACGTGCTCCTGCAGCACAGGCTGTGCGAGGCAGTGGTGCTGCCTGTTCCCTGCCCACAGGCAGCTGTGGTAAAACCCCGTTTTCCAGGCAGGCTGCATCTCTCCAGAGTGGTTTTCCCTTGAGCTGAGCTCTCCCCTGGTCTCAGCATCCTTATGCCCCTGAGAAGGCCTAGGGGGATGCTGCACTCTGGTGTAGAGGGCTGGGTAAAGCTGGGGATGAATCAGCTTTGCAAAAGGGGCTTCAGACCAGCCCTAGATCTGCACCAGAAAGATTTCCAGCCAGAAAGGTTCTGCAGCCCTATGGTCAAATGGGGGGGGGGGGGGGGGGCAGCCTTTCTGCCTTACTGGGTGCTGGGCCCTGCTGGGGGAACCCCCCTTTTTCCATGCAGTATTTGTCACATTTCCAATAATCCCTGCTGGGTTTCCTCACAGCCCTGCCCCAAACACATCAGGCTTTGAGCTGTGCTGCATCGCTGCTCCCCAGAGCACAGGGCCCCTGGGGCTTTGCTGGTGTCTCTGAGGGAGGGCAGCGAGGCCATGGGGCTGGGGAAAACCCTTAACAGGACTAAACAACCCCCAAAAACCCCATCCAGCCTGCAGAGTCGAGTCCAAGCCGTTGTGGGCTCTGCTGGCTCCTCAGCACCCCAGGATGCTGTGGGCACAGGTGACATCCCTGTGAGCCCAGGCTCACCTGGTGTGCCACAACAGCCTGAGCTGTGACTGGCTGAGACTGAGGGTGGCACTGAGCTGGGCGACACCGAGCTGGGTGATGCTGAGCTGGGTGGCACTGAGCTGGGTGACACCGAGCTGGGTGATGCTGAGCTGGGTGGCACTGAGCTGGGTGACACCGAGCTGGGTGATGCTGAGCTGGGTGGCACTGAGCTGGGCGACACTGAGCTGGGTGATGCTGAACTGGGTGGCACTGAGCTGGGCGACACTGAGCTGGGTGGCACTGAGCTGGGGAGGCCCATGAGCCCCTCCCAGGCACAGGGCAGAGGAAATGGAATGATTTTCCTTGGCAGGGCCAGGAGATGCTGGCATGACCTCCCCAGTAACCCCAACATGTCTCTGCAGGGCCACCTGCCCCCAGCCAGGTGTGAGCCAGGTGCAGTGGAAGGAGCTGTGGCTTGTGGTACAGTAGCACCTGGACTATTTCCCCTTTGTGTAAAATGCTTTGTTTCCTTAGAGCACTGCAAAGTCTCCACTGTCATTCTAAAACACTTAAAAGCAGTTGCTCTCATGGGCATTTTTGAAATTGTTTGAAAAATTTGTGTGGGCATTATAGTGTTTGCTTTCTCTGATAACTATTTTTAATCTTGTTTTTCATTAAAAAAAAATAAACTGAGATAGATATGAATTGAAACTGCGCCTTTAAATATGACGTGATGTTGGCTGCCCAAAACTAAACACAGAATAAGGGAGAGCTGGAGCATGTGCCTAAGAGCTGAGAAAGGCTAAAGCTTTGAATGCCACTCGCTTGGCAGCGCTGTGAGGGCAGAGCCCAGGAACCACAGCCAGGGCACGGTGCTGGCCAGCTGGCACCAGAGGGGTTAAAGAAGCAGGTTCACCCTGCAAGGAAAGAGCTGGAAGTGGCCTCTCCAGGAGGAGATGCTGGCACCCCACCCTTCCCCTTGGCACCCAGCCTGAGAGCCACCAGAGCCCCCTGAAGGACACAGGGCAGCCCCAGGAGGGACAAAGGCAGCGAGGGGACGCTTCCCTTCCACGCCCCGCTGGCTCCAAGCTCGGCAGAGGAGCTGTGCAGGGTGCTGCAGCCTCCCCCAGCTCCCATCCTGGGCTCTCTGCTTTTGTTCCCGTGCTGGGGATTTGGCCAAGTGGGGTTTGGCCAGAGCCAAAGGCTGCGAGAGGGCACGGTGCTCCTGCAGCCAGCCAAGGATGGGACGGGGGCCCTGCAGCGGGGCCTGTGCAAGCAGGGCACCCCAAAAAGGCAGAGCCTGCCCTGCAGAGCTGGCAGTGCCATGGCACACTCAGTGCCATGTCACGCTCACTGCCATGTCAGTCTCAGTGCCATGTCACTGTGCCATGTCACACTCAGTGCCATGTCCCACCCAGTGCAATGTCATACTCAGTGCCATGTCCCACTCAGTGCCATGTCACACTCAGTGCCATGTCACGCTCAGTGCCATGTCACACTCAATGCCATGTCCCACTCAGTGCCATGTCACGCTCAGTGCCATGTCCCACTCAGTGCCACGCTGCCTGTAGACCATCGTGCTCCAGGACAGGAGCAGCTCTGTTCTGCATGTGCTGTTTGCATTTCAGACCCAGCCTTGCTGCTGGGATGGTCCCGGCTGAAGCCAGGCAGGGAGGACGGCAGCACGTGGGAAATGCAGTGGCACAGGCCCTGATGGATGTCATGGTGAGCTATTTTCAGACTTTATCTCGCTAGCCTCTGGCAAAAATGTGCTGTGGAGCAGAGCTTATCATGTGCAATTTGGCACATGGGGCCAGTGAGGGGACAGTGTGGCTGGTCCCTGGAGCTGGGGCAGGTGACACTGAGCCGGCAGAGCAGCAGTGGTGGGTGCTGCTGGTGCAGATGTGTGTGCCACAGGGGATGGGCATGGACAGGGTGAAAGCAGGTATCTGAGCCTGAATCCCAGCCCAGGCCTGAATCAGAGGAGTGCCAGCTTTGCTGTGCTCCTGGCTTCCTGGTGTCACCTAGAGCATGAGGATGGAGCATGAAGCTGGGACCTTCCTTACCTCCAGTTTGTAAACTTTGGATTTTCCTAAACAGGGTTGATTGAAACCAACAGCAGCACCCTGCACTGCTGGGACCCAGGGGCTCTGGGAGTTATCACCTTCAGCCTTTTGGCTGCTGGGGCTGGAGATTAGGGAGCTGCTCCTTATCAGCCCCAGTCCTGCCCCTGTGGGGCTCCTCTTTCGCTCTTACTCACTGCAGAAATGAGTAAGCCTGTTGTAACCACCGTGCTGGGACCTGTAGGGACGTGCGGGCTGTGCTGATGGGGTGGAGGTTTGTAAAGCATCTCTGCACAGTGTCCTGCACAGCCAGGACACTCTGCAGACGCCCACCACAGCTGGGGCTGTGCTGGAGCTCAGGGCCCTGCACATCCAGAGCTCACTGAGGCTGGTGAGGATGGCAAGAGTTAATTCTGTGTGTGTGCAAAGGAGGGAGAGGAATCCAAGGCCCTCACATGGCCACAATGTTCAGTGTCTCACTTGCACACAGATCCCCACACCTGCCCCCAAAATCATTGCCTGTGCACAAAGCTCTTGGCCCAGCCTCTGAATTTGTCCTAACTCCTGTGTGTGTGTGTCCGTCCGTCCGTCTGTCCATCCATCCATCCATCCATCCATCCATCCATCCACCCAAGCAGGTCTCAGCCCCTGCCTCCTCCAGGATCTCCACACTGCCACCATTTCCAGCAGTTTATTCGACAGCTACAAGAAAATATTCCTGCGCTCTCTAGCCCCACGAGGCACATGACCCGGCCAGTGCCAATGGAATAAACATTTGGATTTAATTTATTGTCTCTCCTGCAGGCTGTGTCTCAGCTGGCGGCTGCAGAGGGGCTGGGGCTGCTCCTGCCTGCGGGACAGGGCCCGGGGCAGCCTGGCAGCCTTTGCCCAACTCCATGGGATATTTTTATTTTTTTTCCATTCAAGCCTGTGCAGGATTCCTGGCAGGACTGCAGCTTTCGTCCAGATTGCAGATGCCCAAAATATCTGTATTCTGGGCTGAGCAGACTGAAGTGCCCGGGGTTGGCTGATTGAAGAGGACATAGGGGAATGCAGAAAGACAAACAGACAGAAAGACAGACAGAGGAAAAGTGCCTGAGCATGTATGGCAGCAGTGGGCAAAAGGATGGGGGATGCCCCTGGGGTCTGCCCCATCTCCAGGCATGGCTCTCACACCAGCATGGGATATTTTTACTGTTTTTCTCAGTCTGCTGAAGCCTGAGCTCAGTCCAGGGCATGGTTTTGCCCCAGATTAGCTCTTGCTACCAGCCAATTCAATTTGGTTGCATTGCTGTTATGTTATGCTTCTCATTTTAAATTATCTTCTAAACTGTGCACACCTGGCATCTTCAGGAGACAGGATTTGTGAAATAAAAGTTAAAATGCCAGTTGAAATAAGGGATTTATGTGTATTCTTTCACAAACACACATGAATGCACCCAGCTACTGATAAAAACCACGTGTTTGTTCATACATATATGTTTCTGATCAGATTTATAATGTATATAATATAAACGTTT